TGAGAGGAGCTGAGCGATGGTTTGGGACAATGAGTTCAGAGATGAGCTCTGTGGCTTCCAGTGTGTGGTTGCCTGCTGACTTCAGAGCCTGTGTGAGGTTCTCAGGTGCAGGCAGGCCACTGTGTGTAGGGGACTATCTTCGCTGCTGCAGAGTCTCAAGATGGTGGTGACCAGGGGATCCCCACGTTGCTAGATAGGGGTCCATACAGGAGTGGAAGCTGGAGTTCCTATTTGTTGGAAGCTACCAGGTGTCCTGTGTGGGAGCGACATCAGTGATTTCTGCTTGGGTGGGTGGCCGAAAGTTCTGTGTGGGTGCTGCTGTTGCTGCGGATGGTCTTGCTCAGGTACCAGTATTTCTGCATGGGTAAGTAGTTAGGAGACCTACTCTGACACTGAGGCCCGAAGCCCTGGATGGGACTGTGATTCTTGTGCAGGAATCACAGGAATATTGCTCACAGAGAAGCAGTATTCTCATTTGAATATTTGAATCCCAGGTCATGAAGCAACACAGAATGCTGCCTCCCTCTGGCCTGCTATCTTGGATCCCCCTGGTAGTAGCATTCTTGACTATAAATGATGACTAAGTAGCTATTGCTAACATCCCATGAAACCTTTGATATCACTAAATTATAGAGGTACATTCCAAATTAGGAGGTGCTGTGATACTGGTGAAGGTAACCAGGGTGTCACTGTGCCAGGTGAGCAGGTGACGGTCCTGCGGTTGTGCAGTCGGTCATCAGTTATCTGGGATACTCCCCTTTGTGAATTTTATTCACAGTTAACAATTGAAAGAGTGCAGTATACCTGGCTAGGGACCTGAGGCAGAACTCAATTTCTGAGCACACATAAAATCTATGCATCTTTCTTGGAGCAAAATTAAAAACGTTCTCCCTTTGGTTAAAATCATACAGATTTACTACAAAGTACGAAACAAAACTTCAAGCACTAAAAAAAAAGTACAATGAAGACTTTAACTCCAAAACAGACCAGGGAGAGCCACTGTCAGCTCCTTCTCCTTGTATAAATGGGCCCATAGAAATATTTATGTTCAGTTTTGCTATACCTGTTTTCTTCATATCTGTCTTTAGCACTTAATAATGTATCATGACTATAATGGTTAATAGCAAAGAAAAAATCTTTCCTGGATTGTTGAACCAGAGTATACCCTTCATTTGCCTTTGAAACACATTCAAGTTATTTAATTTCATGTTTTGGTTTTTGTTTCATTTGCCTTTTGGTACAAGGGGTTTGAACTCAGGGGTATTCAACCACTGAGCCATATCCCCAGCCCTATTTTTGTATTTTATTTACATAACTGTATTATTAGCTTTAATAATTGCAAAATATTTTATTGCATGGTATATACTGCACTTTCTTGAATCCATCCCATTTTAGAGAGTATTCAGATTGTTTACAGTTTTCACTACTATTAACAATATTCCATAGAATATCCTTTAGTATGCAGTTTATCTTTGTATGGTTATCTCTCTGGGATACATTACTTGAATTCGTACTGATAATTCCAAGATTCATAATAATAATAACTTTTACTTCCACCCCTTGCTCCAGAAAGGATTTAAGAATAATTTATATGAATGTGTACAAGAATGAGAAATACCCAAATTAATTTTTAAACTTAAAATAAAAAGCAGAACAAAGAGGGAAGTGAGATTAGAAAAATAAGGTGAAGACACTGGATCCAGGAATGGTTCCAGGCCATAGAACTGAGTCCAATGAACTTGAACCCTAAATCCTACCCCCAGACCAATGCTTTTGTTCTCACCACCACCCTCTCTGCTCCTTTCAAATCCCTTCCTGGTTCCCCCTGTTCCCATGCTACATCTGGAGACCACAGACCCTTACAGCCAAAACAACTCTGTTAAAGCAACCGCACCACAATGTCTAAGTGAAGTTGACCTCCATGTCTCATAACTTGCCTTGTACCTAGTGGTAAGAGAAAGCTGCTAATTAAAGTCACACTGTTGACCAGTATTTTCATAGCATTCTTACAGTGCTGGCTTGTCTAGGCTGTGATGAATCACATTCGATGCATGATCCTTCTGTGACTAATATATTCCAGGCACTGAAACAGGCATCAAGCCCTATGGTTAAATTATACAAACTCCTTATCTCATGAAGATTGTGATTGATGGAGCACTGAAAAGAAATAAGGTCTTAATGGCTGCTAAACAATAAGGAAGTATAAGAATTAAAGAAGCACATAAGTAGGACATGGAGTCCAAGCTTTGGAAATCTAGGATCAATTATTTCAGCATTAAGTACAGTGTAGAGGGGGCTATGTACAGCACAGTGGGGAAATTTAAAAGAGATCAGAAAATTCCTATATTCAAGACATTTACCAGCACACTGGGGTAAAATATGAATTCCTTGAGGACAATTCCAAAAGCATCATAAGAGAGAAATTCAAGCAAATATCTGACACAAGGTATAAATACAGAGAGGATATAAAATAAAGGCAATATAAGAAATCAATTTTTATTAATTGCTTATTATGATTCAGGTGACTGGTTTGTATTTTATTAATCTTCTAAATATTTTAACACCCCTTACAACTTGTATATTAGAATTTTTGATTCTCGGAGAGGTTAAGCAACTTTTCTGAGACCAAATAGCTCATATGTTAGGAGCAAGATTTAGAACCAGTTCTCTCTCTATATATAAAGTCCTATTGTTTGCATTGTCTAATGATTACCACTGCCTTTCCTTTGTCAACATTTAATTTACCTTTATTGGATTGCATAGGTTCTACTAAATGTGGCTAGTTCTGTACTCCATACACAAGTTCTGAAATTGCTTCTTTGTTTGCATCTCTAATAAAGTAGCTTCCCAGGTTTTTTGTTTGTTTGTTTGTTTTAATTCCCACTTTATTGGCCTTACAGCAATTGCTCATCTGGCTTACAAATATGACTAGAGGCAGTTCTTGGAAACTTACTTCTTGTCTCAAATGCTTCTGAGGACACATGGGCTTCGTAAGGGTCCTCAGCTAGAATTTCTTCCCTGCTGGAATATCTCCTTACAGCCTTTCCCTCCCCATGACCAACATTTAGAACTCTTTCCTTGGGTAATGATTTGCCAAAAAGAATTAATTCTCAACTTTTGCTCATAATGAGAAACTCCAAGAAAGAATCCTAAAGTAGAAGGGATATACGGAACTTATAGAAATGAAATAAAATAAAATGGAATTTGATAAATATTAACATTAAATATTTCAATTGTCTGAGCTGTGGATAGAAACTATATACATGTAAGAAAATAGAGTAACTTTGTAAATTAACCCAGAACTCCGGAGTGAAAAAAAAAGTATATCTAAATCCATTATCTTTAAATTTCATCTCTAATTAATTTTCAGAGTAAATAATCCCATATTGAGAAAGAAACCTAAACAACAGAGACTTGTGAATAGTGCAATCTAGGTCCCTTGGTACTCCTCCACTGCCCATTTGTATCCCACTACATGGGGAGCTGTTTCTATGGAAAGTATAAATCATGAACTGGTAGCACATCTGACATCTGTGAGGAGAGAGTATTCTACAGACCTAATCTCTACCTGCTTACACAGAAAACCTTCCTGTGAAGTGACTCTGACTCCTACTTGTGTAAGTAGCTTGGAAACCCTGAATTCAGATCATTAGAATTTTTTAAATAGTTTACAGACTAGTGTTTGTTATACAAAATACTTTCTCACATAGTTTCTCAGATAGCTCTTCCAAGATGTGTAAACACTGTGTATAATCTTTAGAAAATGTGCAGTATGAAAAACTAAAATAGGGCAATTTTTTTTATTCTTTTGATTATGTGCCTGCTGAGTTTTTCTTTTTGGAAAAATTGGACTAATTAAAAGCTTTAATTGATTCTAATTTATTGTTGATTTAATTATTGAAGAGAGCTGATGGAATTTCCTTTTCCTGAAGCAATGATTTCTTAACAAAAATTAATTTATCACTCTGCTCAGATTTATAACTTTAAATGTCACTTTACATTTGACAAATACTTTATTAACGTGGGAAAGACACCCTTTAAATAATTTTATTCTAAATAGTATCACATGGTCAGTTTTTCCTTGAAGGAATATTTAACTTATATCCTTCTCTTTCCATTAGGATCTTGTGTGCACCATTCAGACAAACCAAGGCTAGCAGAAGTAAGTTCAACAAAACCTTGAACCCTATGCTACTTTTGATTTTCAGTGCACTTTTTTGGGGGGTGGATACTAAGGATTGAACCTAGGGGTATTTTACAATTGAGCTACATTCTTAGTCTCAGCCCTTTTTCTTTTTTCTTTTTTTTTTTTTTTTTTTTTTTTTTTTTTTTTTGTTTTTTTTTTGGGGGGGTTCTTTTTTTTTCCTGGTTCATTTTTTTTTAAATTTTTTTTTATTGGTTGTTCACAACATTACAAAGCTCTTGACATATCATATTTCATACACTAGATTGAAGTGGGTTATGAACTCCCAATTTTACCCCAAATGCAGATTGCAGAATCACGTCGGTTACACATCCACAATTTTACATAATGCCCAATTAGTAATTGTTGTATTCTGCTACCTTTCCTATTCCCTACTATCCCCCCTCCCCTCCCCTCCCATCTTCTCTCTCTACCCCATCTACTGTAATTCATTACTCTCCTTGTTTATTTTCCCATTCCCCTCACAACCTCTTATATGTAATTTTGTATAGCAATGAGGGTCTCCCTTCAGCCCTTTTTTTAATTTATTTTTAAAATTTAAGCCAGGGTCTCATTGAGTTGCCAAAGGTCTTGCTAAGTTGCTGAGGCTGTCCTCATATTTGCAAGCCTGCCTCAGCCCGCAGAGTTACTAGGATTATAGGCATGTACCATCACACCCAGCTTCCAGTGCCCTTTTGATCCAGTATCCAGGGAAACTGTACTACTTTCAATTGACATTATTTTCTCTTTTGCTCTCATTTTCTGATTTTTTAGCAGAAAAGAAATATGTGTAATTTTTTTTTTTTTTTTAAATTTTGGTGGCCAGTTCCAAAGAGAGAAGAGTAGAACCCATCAATGAGAGCTGTCTTCACCCGTGGTGGTACTGAAGAATTCCCTGCAGCATTCTGCTACCAGGTGAATGGGTCTTGCCCCAGGACAGTCCATCCTCTGGGTATCCAGCTGGTCATCTACCTGGCCTGTGCAGCAGGCATACTTACTACAGTTCTAGGGAATCTGTTTGTAGTGTTTTCTGTGTCCTACTTTAAAGTGCTTCACACTCCCACTAACTTCTTATTGCTCTCCCTGGCCCTGGCTGACATGCTGCTGGGTCTTCTGGTGCTGCCACTAAGCACTGTTCGCTCTGTGGAGAGTTGCTGGTTCTTTGGGGACTTCCTCTGCCGTCTGCACACCTACTTGGACACTCTTTTCTGCCTCACCTCCATCTTCCATCTCTGTTTCATTTCCATTGACCGTCACTGCGCCATCTGCGACCCCCTGCTCTATCCCGCCAAGTTCACAATCAGGGTGGCCCTCAAGTGTATCTTAGCAGGGTGGGGAGTGCCAGCAGCTTATACTGCCATCCTCCTCTACACAGATTTTGTAGAAAGAGGACTTAGCCAGTGGCTGGAAGAGATGCCTTGTGTGGGCAGTTGCCAGCTGCTGTTCAATAAGTTTTGGGGCTGGTTAAACTTCCCTGCATTCTTTATCCCCTGCCTCCTCATGATCAGCTTGTATGTGAAGATCTTCGTGGTTGCGACCAGGCAGGCTCGACAGATCAGCACCTTGAGCAAAAGCTTGGCTGGGGCTGCCAAGCGTGAGAGAAAAGCTGCCAAGACCCTAGGCATCGCTGTGGGCATCTACCTCATGTGCTGGCTTCCCTTCACGGTGGACACCCTGGTGGACAGCCTCCTTAACTTTGTCACACCACCACTCATCTTTGACATCTTTATCTGGTTTGCCTACTTCAACTCAGCCTGCAACCCCATCATCTACGTCTTTTCCTACCGGTGGTTCAGGAAGGCACTGAAACTCATCCTGAGCCGGGAGATCTTCTTGCCACGGACTCCCACTATTGATTTGTACCAAGAATGACTCCATCTGCTGAATGCAGGCAGGAATCCAGTAGGAAGGCATGGTGGGAAGGATGAGTGGCACCGGAGCTGTGGGTTGCGTGGTGTCATGAGTTTGCAGGTAGCTTCCAGGGTTCAAGTGCAGGAAAAAGACAGCTTAATTTGGAAAGAGATGAGTGCTCCTCTTATTCAGTGCTCTCATAGTAGAATGTAGGGAAAGGAGAGAGGTAAGTCATCTTAAGACCTCCTGGATAAGCCACAATGCTGGGAAAATATTTGGCTCCTAAGTCATTGCTTCCTTGAAACAACTAAGATGCAGAGGTGGAAGGATAGAGCTCCAGGGCCTGGATTTCTGAGCTCCTGGTTCTGCCACATGAAGCAGCCAGGTGAGACTTCAGCTACCTTTGAATCCTCCATCTCCCTTGCTATATAGTGTCCTCATTCACAAAATCTGGGATTTGTATTGTTTTCTTTCTAAAGTGTCCTGAAGCTAAAATATTGCCTAGTATAATATTGGAAACTTTGTTTAAATCATAATTTTACTTCACATTTTTAAGTCATTGTCAAGAGTTTGAAATACCTATTTTTAAAAATGTTCATTTTTAGAGTTCTTATCTTCTTGGAAGTCAACCACAAAATAGAATTATAAGTCAGACTTATTTATTTTAATGACCTTGAGTAAATATATTCTGTTATTGAAAGAATGTTGTCATTTTTAAAAATTACCATAATTTGAAAACATATGGAATATTTTAGTAAGTGATAATTATTCACATTTTGTCATTTTAATTATTTCCTCCTTTAATCACCAGTTAGAATCACTATCTTTCCACTAGCATGAGCACATGGTTTTCACTGGGAAAAAAGTACCTATGTCACATACTTCTCAGAATTGGATCAAGTGTGTCTCAGCAGCCATCACTAGCAATGGCAATAAATCTGTGAGTAGGACTGGCATTAAAAATCAGGAAGGAGAATCAGCTTCTAGAGAATCATAGAAATACAGAGACATGAGTATAATGGTACAGTCTCTACCACCAATGAATCAGGGAGGAAGGAGAACAAGAATCAGACCTGTGATGGACACCACATGAGGAGCTTAAGCTGATGGGTGGACAGGTAAAGACCTGACCCCAGGACTTGAAGTCCAGCTCATCATCATTTCTTATGAGAACAGGGTATAAAAAGCAAATATTTTGCACTTGGCAAATCTGTTTAAGCCCTTGGACAAATGGAAACCTGCTTTCCATATCAATTTCCTGAGACCCTGATGTCTAAACAGAACGTTTCTGTTGATACTTTATTATGGGGTTATTGTCCCTCTCCCTTACTGAGTGAGAATTAACTATACTAAGGCAAATATTCTAACTTTTTGTGCTATGACTATTTTGACACTCTGGTTATGATCATAGACCCCCATCTCATAACTGGACTTTCAAGTGAATAAAATTGTTTTTAAGGTAGCATTGTAAAAGAAAATAGTTACTTTGAAATATAGTTATCATGAAGTAACACAGGTCAACACAGCACAGACTTGAGATCTGTTCCTGATCACTCAGCTGGTATTCATGCCATTTAGGTATGGTGACCACATCGGTGCATCTTTGTTCTTCTGAATGTAGTTTGGATCCCATGGCTGACTGTGTCTTCACCTCCTTATCCCAAGAACCTAGCATAATGCTGCCCACACAGTAGGTACTCAATCAATATTTATTGAATGAAATATATGCAAATTTGGAGTCAAAAATTTTTAAATACTTTGAATCAAGATGTGTAATATGGGATTTTGTGAATTCTAAATGTTCTAAACTCTGTAAAATCTCTGGTCCAGTAAACGCTCTATATTCTTCAAAAATTAAAAAAGAAATACAGTTTATCATAACATCCTAGAAATAATCAAGGCTGTAATATATTAATATGTGGCCTTTTCTGGCGGCATTAGATAAGATCTTCTGGCAGGTGCAATAAAACCACTGTAATTCAAAATATTGATGGGTTTAAGTGAAAATGCACAAAATCTGCACCATAGTGTGATATGAAAATATCAATTTCTACTGAGGACAAAAATCAGTACTAATGTCACTGTATTTTTCACCTACTTTCCAAATGGAAGGGTGTGCTAAAATTTCAGGAAAAGGTTAGTGAATATAAAGATACAATATTTTACCCATATAAATTCATGAACACTGGAAGTAAGAATCTCCTTTAAACTTAAAGACCAGGACATTCTTCCAACCATGATGGCTTTGGGATCAGATTTGAATACAAGGCAGTGTCAGTCAGACCTCACTATTAACTGTGACAGCTAATGCCTGATGAGACTCATCTTCATCAAGAGCCTGCCACTGATAAACATATGGACAAGCACAGCAATTTCTTTCTCTTTTTGTGCTTGTTTAGAATGTTTTTTGTTTTTTAAAAAACTTCCATAATAAATATCAACAGAGTTTCAAATTCTAGGATGAATCCTTATTTTGTATGAACATAACCATTATTCTTTTTTTCTCTAAACATCTCTCAACTTAATTATATTGCTTTCTTATAACTCAGTCAAAACCATTATGGCTCACCCCAGTGGGTAGCATTAATGAATATGTAATACACATGAGTGGTTACTAGGGACCAGCTGTATAAGACAGATATCTGCATGGGCCACAGGAAGGAAACACAGGAGGATGTGTACAACTGGAAATTATGTCAAGGGTGACTGGGCCCTGCTCCTGGTATGGAAAAGTACAACTTGCATTCAGAATGGATCTTGAGGCAACATTAAATTATAAACATTTGTTCTAGCTGAAGAGTTGACTAACACAGGCAAAATCCAGTGGCTGTCTCATGCTACCCTCTGACTATTCAGTTTCTTTTCCAATATTCACTCAACATTGAAGTACCTGCCAATGTTTAAAGTGACCTTCCTCTACTTCCACAGTTTGACATCAGCTACATGTGGGGGTAGTTTGAACTCACAAGCAAGCTCTCTTAAAAACATGTACATTCCTACATGCCTGTTTAATTCTTTCCACTTAGTGGACTGCAACTCCCACTGCAGGGCTGAGTCCTAAGCAGAGAGCCTAGGAGTTCTCAGGGCTTTATACACGTTGCTGAAATTCCTGACTCACTTTCTCCCCAGCCTGAGGTTCAGAGAAGTGCAATATAACTTCACATACTCAAATACAATATATTTAAGACTCTCAATTAGCATTTATTGAGAATCTATTATATGCAGAGTGTGATGCTACTCTGTTGGACCTGAGATTCCTGAAATGTGAACATTGCACTCAAAAAACATTTGTCCAAAGGGATAGAAATAAACTACAAATAAGAACACAGAAAGCAGGGTAAAGTCAGTTCTCAATAAAGGTAGAACGAAGAGCTACAGTAATGAGAAGAGGGAATATTTCTGTGTTAGTCAATATACAAGTGCAAGGTCTAAAGAGTCAGATGTCCTGGCCAATTTCAGATTTAATCCTTTCCTTTTCCTATAATCTTGGGCAAGTTACTTCGCTTGTGCTTCAATTTTCTCCTCTGTAAAAGGGAGCTAATAATAGCTCTTCTCTAGGGTCTTGACAAGGAATGAGATAATTATGTAAATAATGTGCCCGCCAAAATACTGGGCACATATTAGTGCTCCATTAATTGTCCACTCACAAAGAATTACAAGAGGAGTGGCATTTAAACTTCTCACTAGGGGAGGGAAAGATAGAGAAATACATTTTAAACTCAAGGAGCTCTATAAAAAATAATATTTTAAAAATGATATTTAAATAAAACCCATACTGAATTTGAACACTTACACAAGAAATATATCCAAAGACAAGGCCAAAGAACAAGGTTCAGAAAGGTTAAGGATGTTGTCCAAGGGCTGGGGTGTGCCTCAGTGGTAGGGTGTAGTTAGTAAAGTGCTTGCCCTGGGTTTGATAACCAGCACCTAAAAAAAAAAAAGAGAGAATATTGTTCAACAGATACTCTTGTGGTCTCTCATGCAAAAGCTAAAAAATGTTTGTCTCAAAGAAGAAGAAGAGAGTGGAATGGTAATAACTAGAAGATAGGAAGGACAGGAAGAGGGAAGAAGATTGGGTGACAGGTAGATAAAAGGAATAATTTCTGGTGTTCTGCACACAGTAAGGTAACCCATTATAAATCTGATGATGAACTATAAGGGAAGAGCTCAAAGACTCTGAACATAAAGAAATGATAATTATATAAAAATTTTAATCACCCTATGTTGATCAGTATGTGTCGTATGTACTAAAATAGCATACTGTACCCCATAATTGTGCACATGTATTACATGTTGATTAAACAAAAAAAGTAAAGTTAAAAAAAGTGCTATTCTCTCTTGTTCATACAGTCAGCAAGGAACAGCACTGAGATTGAACCACCCACACCCTCCAACAGTGCCTCTCTTGGACACCATCCTGCCTCTTTTCAAGGAGCAAAATTTGAAGGACTTCTGCAGGCTGAGTCTTTTTGGACATGGTAAATGTTTACTGAACTGAATTATTTCATATGTTGGAAACAATGTATTTGATGCATTTTTATGTTTTTATTTTTTTAAAAATAAATTATCTTGTTCATAAAAATAATAATTCATTGCCTATGTGCACAATTTGGAAAATAAAGAAAGCACGGAGGGGAAAAATCTTTTCCCTAATTCTCACTTGCTAGAAAAGACTACTGTCTGTTTTATATATTCCTCCAGTCTTTTCACTCAAGAAATGCTGTTTTAAAATACAGTATCTTGCTTGTATTGCTCTTACTTATTTTGCTCTGGGCTCATGGTAATTTGTGAACTTCATACTTTCTTTATACCTGGAAAGGGTTCTAGTGATAGGCCCAATTAAGAATCGCAGATTACTAACACTTAGTTAAAATGAAACAAATTTGGCCTTTGGATTTTTGGCACTGGCTTATTTCACTTAGCATGATATTCTCTAGTTCCATCTATTTACTGGCAAATGTATGATGTCATTCTTCTTTATGGTTGAGTAATTTTCCATTCCAAATGGATGGGTTGTACTCCATGAATGTATAATATGTCAAAAATACACTCTACTGTCATGCATATTTTTAAAAAAACAAATAAAATAAAATGAAACAAATTTTAT